GGCAGAGCATGTGGCTTTCCCCTGGTGAGCGTTCAGCATCTCCTCTGGTATAAGGCAGCATGCCGCCACCTTGGAGTATTGGGCAATGAGTGACTAAGCCACTTGTGTGCCCTGAGTCTGCATTTTGCTCCCCAGTAGAAGGAAGGATGATTGTATCATCAGATTCATATGTGTCTTAGACTCCGCAGCTAGCTGCCTATCCTGCAGATGGCATGGTTACAGGCCAAGTCATGTGTTGGATGTGTGGGATGGAGGTTCTGTCTCACTGCCTTGGGGAAACTGCCACAGCAGAGGGTAGTTTGTAGCTTATAGGTATAGAATGTAGTTCATTCTTGCCTAGTGTGTAGGGCCCAGGAAGAACGGTCACTGCTATCTGTCCCTGTCCCATGCCCCGCCACGTGCCTGGCCCAGGACTCCTGCCATCAGCACCCCCACAGCAGATGGGCCTGTGAGCACTGTGGGTGCACCCTTCTGGAGAAGGGGGGCAGGGAGAAGGGGTGGCATCTGTTGTGTATGTCCCTGAAGCCACAGGAAGAGTGTGATCTGGAATGGGTTGTTCCTAGAGGCCCTGCCGCACGTGGCTGGCATCTGTCTTAAGTCGCTCGTCATTGTGACGGAGGGCCAAGCACGAGGAGGAAGTAGAAACGGCTGATGCTGAGTCAGGCTGAGTCCCAGTGTCACTGTCCTTGTCCTTACTGTTGACTGTAGATTATCCCACCACCCATCCATGATGTCAGTGTCAGAAGCACCCCAGCAGCAATGCTTCATGATACAGGGGCCAGGGGCTCGGGCTCCCGATTGATGTGTCTGAGACGCATCACTTCATAGCCTTCCTTGGAAAAATGAGGGGGTTTAGACTGGGTGGCCTATAAACCTCATTACACCCAAACCTCTGTGGTAGCCAAGACCAGTGTCCGGATGCCCTTCTGAGAGCAGTTACGAGAGGAGTGGATGCGGAGTCAGAGGATACCCTGCCCTTTGCCCTCTGGAAACATCTACTTTTCACCCTACCTCGCCTGTGTAGAACACCCATACATCTTCGTGTGCTTTGCACACACGACTGACTAGTGTGTAATGAAGGTCATCTATCCAGCTCGTTCATGAACAGCCTCTCTGAGTCACGGAGGGATTCCAGTCCCTTCCTGTCGGTGTCTTACAGCCCAAGCAGAGCTGGTGTTTGCTTCAGTGGTCCTCTTAGCTGCAGGCCTCACCTCTCCAGTTTGCTCATTGGTTGTGAACCACTGCATGACCTGAGCCACACCTCGGAGTCCAGAGCCAAAAGCCCTTAGTTAGATCATGTGGCCGGGCCTCTGCTGTGCTTTAGAGGCTGATTTTGTTAGGTGTGTCAAGGATCTCTGGGTGTCATCTTTCCTACAATGGTGGAAATGAGGAAGTTGAGTGTGTAGCTCAGCAAGAGAGTGCTTGCCTGGAGTGTGTGAGCTCCTGGGTCCCACCCACAGGATGGATGGATGGATGAATGAATGAATGAATGAATGAATGAATGCTCAGACTAGAGAACCAGCTTTCTCTGGGATTGAGGTTCCACATCTTGTGATCTAACTGGGAGGCCCTCTCAAGTTAAATCTCGAATACAGGTATTAGGTCTTGGCTGATTCTGATGGCATGGCCTCAGGTCCAATGCCTGAGAAATCTATCCTAAGAGACTTTAATAACCATCCTCTCTCTTCACACCGTCAGCGCTTTATGCCTCTCACAATGCATGACTGTCTTCATAGGAAAGTTCCTAACTTACCTGGAACCCCTTATTTAAGGCTGGCCTCTGTGTTCTGGAGCCGAGTACCCAGGAGGTATTCAATAGAGGCAGAACCACACCCTTCTGTGTCTTGCTGGCCAGTGAGCCATAGAATGTCCCGTCTCCTCGTGTGCCTGCCTTGTGTGTCCTGTGTGTATAGTTTAGGAAGTGAGAGGAGTGCTCTGAGTGGTTGTGTGTGCCTGTAGTCCCAGGTGGGGGAGAAGGACCAGGCGTTCATACCCGCCTCGCTGTGTAGCAGGTGTGAGGTCATCCTGGACTACAGGACACTGTTTCAAACCAGAAAGAGCGAGCTGTTCGTTCCCAGCCACCCAGACGCGAAATAATCACACAGAAACTGTATTAATCAAAACACTACTTGGCCGATCACTTAGACATATTGCTAGCAAGTTCTTGAATCTTAAATTAACCCAATTTTTGTTAGTCTATATTTTACAAGTCTCATGGTTTACGGGTAAGGTTCCCAGGCATCTATCTCCTTCAGCGGCTACATGGCATCTCCCTGACTCCGCCCACTTTCTCCTCTATTTCTGCTTGGAATTCCAGCCTTACTCTATTCTGCCCTGCTATAGGACCAAAACAGCTTTATTCATTAACAAAACACATTCACAGCGTACAGAGGGGAATCCCACATCAGAGACTGAAGGAGAGGGGGCTGTTTTATGGAAGGTGGTCTCCAGCGTGTACCCCAGAAGTCCCCACAGCTGCTTTTACTTGATAGTTATTCCTTATATAGCACCTCACTTCTTGGCATCACTGTGACAAAATGCCATAGACTGGAGACCTTAAACAGCAGCCATGTTCTGGAGGCTGGAAGTCCCCAGAGTCCCCGCTGAGTCAGTGTCTGGTGAGGGACCTGGGCAGCCAGAAAACAAATGTGCCCTTCAGCTGCAGATGGGGCTCAGTCTCCTGTGTGGCCCTCCTGTGGTCTGGAGAGCTGGGACTGTGGCTATGCACAGGCTAGACCAGGAGGATGCCCATCGCGGGCCATTATGGGTCACTGAGCTTCCCTAGGGCTGCTGTGCTCTGTGTGCTCAGCTTCTTTGTTTCTTTTCCTCTTAATTTTCTTTGCAAATTCTCTTCAGTGTCTGTGACGATTTCCTCTGTGTCATGTGAGACTTTCTCTGGGGAAGGGTGGGGCCCTGTTGATCCCCTCCGAAGTCCCAGGGGCTGTCCTGTTAGTGTCCCATCCGGGCTTCTGTAATTGCCCCAGGGACCCTGTTGACTTACAGGAGAGCAGAGTGGCAGATTAGCAGGTTGCAGTGGCCTGCCCTGTTCTGGTGGGTGGGAAACTGGAGGTGAACCCAGGGGAGGCTGGGGCCTGTAGTGTGGCACAACTTTCTTTGTCGCAGGGAGCACGTGCTGCAGTGTGTGTGTGTGTGTGTGTGTGTGTGTGTGTGGAGGTCGGAGACAGCCTCGGGTGTAGCTCTTGGCTAACAACTGGCCTGTGAGCTGGGGAGTCTTCCAGCTCACTGGAGTGCCCAGTTACAAATGTGTGCTACCAGGTCTGGCTTTATGTGGGCTCTGGGGACCTGAACTTAGGTCCTTATGCATGCTCACTCACACCCCTCCCCGCCCCCCACACACACAGCAGGCCATCTCCCCTGCCTGTCTCTGGTGCGGTCACATGATGTAGCCTACTCTTGAGGGAGGAGCATCAAATGTCCAAAAGTGGTGTGAGAGTCACCTGTGCTCATTTATACTCGTGATCACTGAGGTAAAATTAATTTCAGTATATTTGATTTAGTCTACTGTATCTCAAATATTAATCTCATCATTGATCAGAAAAATGGCTAATGGGATAATTAACATTTTTGTGTTGAGTCTTTGAAATGAGGTGTTTTTTTCTTGTGTGTGTGTGTGTGTCAGGTGTGCATATGTGTGTCTGCATATCCACATGTGTGGCACACACATGAGCAAGTCCTCATGACTGTACGGGTACATGTGCATGTGTGGGGGTGGGCATCAGGGATCTCAGTCGATTGTCCATTGAGGCAGGGTCTCAGTCAAAGCCAGAGGTCTGGGATACAGCTAGTCTCTCTAACTGCTTGCTTCAAGGATCCTGTCTTCCTTTTCTGAGCTGTAGCAGCTGCCACAGCTCCCCAGTGTTTCTGTGAGTTTTGGGAGCTGAAGCTCTAGTCCTTGCTTCTAGTCTTGTGTAGCAAGGCACATTCACCCCCAAGCTCTCCCGGCCATGTGAGATGTTTGTATTTGTTCCTTGCCAACCACATTTCAGATGCTCAGGAGTTACGTGTTGGCCTGAGATGGCTCAGTCAGTACAGAGCTCACTGGTGAGCAGCAGGGTTCTCTCCCCAGCACCTGTATAAGATTACAGGCATGGTGGGACATGCTTGTAATCCCAGCTCTGGAGAGGTGGGTACATTCCTGGGGCTCACTGGCTGGCCTAGCTTAATAGGTGAGTTTCAGGCCAGTGAGGAACTTTGTCACAGAGAACAAGGCTCCAAGATGAACCTCAGGCTTCTGCACACACACACACACACACACACACACACACACATATACACACATGTACACTCACATGCACACATATGCTCACACATGCATATACATAAACCTATATACACACATACACAAAAGCATCACACGTGCTGGGTCTGCTGTAGCTGTGAGGATGGCTGCAGTTTGTGTTAATTCCTTCCCGAAAGCAGGGTTGTACTGGTCATGCCCGGCCTGGCTGTGCAGTTATTGTGGACTGAGACGGTGGCCACACCAGGCTGGCACTCGTGTTGTGGGGTGTTTGCCTGAAGCCTTGCTTCTGGCCGGCTTTGGAGCTCAGGAAAGGCTGCTTGCATCCTCTCTGCCTCGTCTGTAGCGTGAAGTCCCACAAGCATGGTCTCTGGAGCACTTTTGTGTGGTGTAAAGGGAAGGTGCCCAGGGCTGCCGCGTCTGCCTGGCTCAGATCTTCGGAGAATGACCACAGCTGCCTTAGCCCTTGCCATCACAGACGCAAGATCTATGCATTTACTTCTCTGTTGTGCTCCAGACTGCCAAGACTGTCTGCTCACCTGTCTGAGTTCCACTCAGCCATCAGTCAGTCAGTCCCCTGCTACCCTGTCCCTTGTATGAGTGCCTGTCTGTGGAGCCTATCCAAGAGAGGCAGACGCAGACAGATCAAATCTTTGGCCACTCCTCTCTGAAGGGGGCTGGTAACGAGCTCGGGGACTCCTGGTCTTTGCCTCCAGCCTCACAAGCCCTCCTTTCTCAACAGGCTCAGCTGGAAGCTCAGAAAGCCACACAGGACTTCCAGAGGGCCACCGAGGTGCTCCGCGCTGCCAAGGAGACCATCTCCCTGGCTGAGCAGCGGCTGCTGGAGGATGACAAACGGCAGTTCGACTCTGCGTGGCAGGAGATGCTGAATCATGCTACTCAGAGGGTAGGAGGGCCGTGTGTATGCTGGCCGTGGGGAGCTGGGCCTGTATGCTCTATGTTCTTTGACTCCCCACAGGAGTATAAATAGGTTCCTGGATGGCGTGGAATACTTCTGTAAAGGCTGTCTACTCTCCGGAACCTTTCGGCTGGCCTGGCTTTAAGCCATGCTCAGGCATGACAGTCTCCCAGTGACACGCGAGGATACTCATTCTCTGTATTGCCTGAAACTGATCTGGTTCACATAGACCCCGAATGTCTTGGCAGTGGAGTTTGGGTTTCCCAGAGGGGCCAGGATGCTCTCCAAGGTTAGCTCCCAGTACCCCAGAAGGACCATCGGTCCTCAGTGGAAGCCCTGATAACAGTTTGAACCTGCACTTGGGTGTGTGTGTGTTGGTGGGTGAAGTGCCTAGCCCAGAATTAAGTGGACGCTCAAGCAGGGCCTTCCAGGTGAAGTTGGGGTCTGGGAAGTGATGTGCAGTAGGCAGTAGCTGGGAGTGATTGTCACTGTGGGATTTATATCACCGTAAGGTGGCTCTCCACCTGCTCCCAGGACGCACTGTCTGGCTCAGAGCTGGAAGTAATAATTGTCTTGGTCTAGGTAGACTACTTAACAAAATACTGTAACTGCCTGGCTCCCACACAGAAATACATTTCTCACAGTTCTGTAAGCTAGGAAGTCTAGAACCAGGGCTGGGAATATGAAGGAGTGTACTGGTCCCATAGCATTGCTCTCTCAAGGCCCACAGTATCGCCACCCTAGGGACATTCCTACTCCAGCAAGTGGGGCCACCTGCTTGACACTGTAGACCCGAGTTTGCTGGGGTCACAGAATATTCCCAGATACTGCTTCCTTCTAGCCAGGTGCAGCTCTTGTTCTTCTGAGTCTTGGTCCCCTTGGCACAGGCCTGTTCTCCCGCGAGGCCAGGGGGCTATTGTAAGGCAGGCAGATGAGCTGCAGTCCCTGGGCGCAGACTGTAGCTCTGCTTTCCTTGATCGTCAGAAAGGCTGTCTGTGGGGTTAGAAATGAGGTCCGGGAGCCGGTGCCAGTGGCTGCTCCCCGACAGTGTCACCTGCCCTGCCACAGTGGCTCCGTCCTGGGGGTCTGGTGATTAAAGTGGCCTTGAGTGTCTTTAAATAGAAAAGCCTGACTTACAAATGATTTCAGGAGACCAGCTCTGCCCGTGGCTTGGCAGCCTTGAGTTTCCTGCCCTCTAGTGGCCATAATAATGCTTGTAGACTCAGCAAGGCTGAGAAAAATCTTACTGGGTCAGCTATAGGAGAGATGGCTCAGAGGTTAAGAGCATTGCCTGCTCTTCCAAAGGTCCTGAGTTAATTCCCAGCAACCACATGGTGGCTCACAACCATCTGTAATGAGGTCTGGTGCCCTCTTCTGGACAGCAGGCATACACACAGACAGAGTATTGTATACATAATAAATATTAAAAAAAACTTTAAAAAAAAAAAAAAGAGAGAAACCTAAAGGGGAGGTTGGAACCCGTGCAAAGCCAAGCCTGGTAGAGAAAGAAACAACTAAACAAGCCTCTGGCCTGCCCTTCCTTCTGGGACTCTTCCCCTCCAAAGATCTGTAGCAACAAGTAAGAGGCCATTTCAGAGACCACCAAATGTGCCTGTTCATGGCAATGTGTGCCTATGATGCCAGGCCGGAGATCGAGACGGGAGGATCAAAGCTACCCTGGGCTATGGAGGGAACCCCATCTTTTAAAAAAGGAGGAAGAAACCATTGCATGTTACTATGATATAGGAAAGTCCACGTTTTAGTCACGGCTAATGGCAGTGGGTAGCTGCTCACAGAGGCTCCTGAGACCTGCACACTGTCTCCACGGAATCACATGCTTGGCCTGTGGAAACAAGGCTCTGGGTTCTGCAGCAAGCAGACTGTGGAGCTTTGCAAGATAGCTTCAGAGCCCTTTCAGTTCAGTCGGGCCCATGCCCATCTGATGTGTACCCTTTGACCACCAAAACAAAGGACCCAAGCATCCGGTTCATCTCTGTCTATATATGTTAGGAGGTGTGGTAGCAGCAACCTGTGTGATCAGTGGGGAGTTCTGGGTCACAGGCCAGGCCTTCCCCATCACGGATGGTACTTCCTTTTCTCTGGTTCCTTCATGGTTGCATAGCCCTGGGATGATTCTCCTTGAACTGATGAGAAATGATCCTCCCCTCTGGGCAGGTACCTCAGTAGTAGAACAAGCGCTTGGACTTAGCTTGCAAGCCATCAAATCCATCCCCAGCAACAAGGGGGGAAGCACACATAAAAATGCTCTCGAGACCATGACCTTTGCCCTGCCTCACTATTCACTATTCAGAGCCTCAGCCTGCGGGATAATAGGGACCCAATCCTCCCTGCAGGCCAGATGCTCATGTTTGGCTCTGAAATAGCGTGAATGACTGTGACCCTTTGTTTGAATTGAGCATTTCTCCCAATGTGGCTCCTGGGGACCATTTGCCAGGCCTTGTGGGGCTCGCATGCTGGGCTGCCTTAGCAGAAGGCCATGCAGACACCGACTGACTTCTGGAGATACCAGAAAGCCTGGTTCATTAGGGGAACGGAGCTTTTTATAACCCTCTCCTCCTTCTCTCCACATGTTCCTCACCTGAGGCCATCTGTCTCCTCTTAGTCTCCAGTCCAATGGTAACATTAGATGGCCATACTCAAAGCTTTAGCAGAAGCTAACAGCCTAGATGTCAGGAGCCCCAATATTCTCTGGCGGTCACACGTAACACCATAGACAGGCCATGGGGACAGTTCTTGGCATGGTGCTGGCAAATAGCAAATGGTTCCAGTAACACTGCCAAGCTTGCAGCTGAGCAGCCTCCCTCGGGGCTGTGTCTGCTGTTCCCCAGAACCAGAGGGAGGTTTGGCGGCAGAGGCCTCTCCAGCCCTTGGCTGCTTTGATCTTGAAGCGGCCTTCTAGGGAAAGTAAGGGCTTTCAACTCTGAGACAGGAGTGCTGGCAGCCTGGGAGGGAGGAACTAGCTTTTCTGACCAGATGGAGGAAGAGGTAAGTGTGGCATGGACACAGGAAGGCTGGAGAGGAAATGACAAGACACAGCCAACCAACAGCTCCTCCAGGCTTCCAGGATAGCCATGAAGGCTGGGATAGAAGAGTCACTTCTGGAAGGTTGCCTGAAGTGGGGTCGAGGGCCACCTTATGGCCCCTCCTTGGCATAGAGGTGCAGTGGGAAACAGTTTGGAGCTGCGAGGAGATGGGAAAGCCATCTCCCATCTCAGGTTTCAGGTTAGGGAGAGGCTGTGGACAGGCCCTAGGACAAGTCCCATGTTGGGAGAATCTTCTAAACCACCTGACTAGAGGAGAAGACCTCTTTCATCTTAGACAGTTGTCCCTGAGCTAAGCTCTCCTGAGCTAAGGTCTACCTCAGAGAAGGAATGTGGAAAACTAAGCACCCGTTATGTGTGGTCAGGCCGTGGCAGTGGCAAGTGGGCCATATGGATGCAGAAGAAAGCTGTAGCCTGTAGTATTTCCTCTGAGCTGGGCATGGCGGTACACGGGGATACATGCACCGTGTATTAGATGCTATGGAGATTCGTGGGGAATACAGCATCTCAGATAATGAAACAAAACCCAGTGACATGTTCACTCCAAATGCTGCCTCTGCTATCCCAGCTCAGAGCAGCCAGAGCTACCCCAGCTGCCTGGATCTTTGAATGATAGATCCATACTGCAGCAGGACCGTCCATCCCCTGCTAGGCTGCCGACTCTAGGTGTAGCCTCTTGTTCTTTGCCCCAGTAGGTGCCTGATCAGTGGGAACAGCTCTGAGGTGTGAGGGTAGTGGCAGTGAGACAGAAGAGCACCTTGTTGAGATGGGACTAGGGAACCTGAGTCTGGGCAAAACTCCACCAATGGGAGCTTCCAAGAGCCAGGGGTGGCCCTGGGGAAGGCTTTCTTTGTGGTTCCATCTCGGTTTGTCCATGCTCGTCCACCTTCCCTGGAGGGGAGGGGTGGCTTCTGTCCCTGGGCCCCAAACTTGCCTCCCCCTCATGCCTAACATTCCTCCCCCATCACTGCACCCAGCTTATGCCTGATTCTAGGCTGCAGATGGAGGAGTCTCCTTGGTGAGGTAGAAATCCTGATGTGTGTTGCCTTTGAAGGCATTGCGGGTAGGATAGCCAGTGCTTAGGACGTTCTGGGTACTTAAGTTTGGAAAGGCTTTGCTTGTGGTGGGAGCCGAGGTGGAACGAAAGCCTGTGCACAGCTGGGGAGCCCCACTTCTCCTGGCAGACTCTTTTTTTTTCATTTTTTTATTGATATTTATTGAGCTCTACATTTTTCTCTGCTCCCCTCTCCGCCTCAACCCTCCTCCAGGGTCCCCATGATCCCAATTTACTCAGGAGATCTTGTCTTTTTCTACTTTACACTTCCCATGTAGATTAGATCTATGTAAGTCTCTCTTAGTGTCCTCATTGTTGTCTAAGTTCTCTGGGATTGTGGTTTGTAGGCTGGCTTTCTTTGCATTATGTTTAAAAACCACCTATGAGTGAGTACATTGATAATTGTCTTTCTGTGTCTGGGTTACCTCACTCAAAATAATGTTTTCTAGCTCCATCCATTTTTCTGCAAAATTCAAGCTGTTGTCATTATTTTCTGCTATGTAGTACTCCGTTGAGTAAATGTGCCACATTTTTCTTATCCATTCTTCAATCAAGGGGCATTTAGGTTGTATCCAGGTTCTGGCTATGACAAACAGAGCTGCTATGAACATAGTTGAGCACATGTCCTTGTGGCACAATTGAGCATCCTTTGGATATATACCCAAAGGTGGTATTACCGGGTCTTGAGGAAGGTTGTTTCCTAATTTTCTGAGAAATCGCCACATTGACATCCAAAGGGGTTGTACCAGTTTGCATTCCCACCAGCAATGCAGAAGTGTCCCTTTTCCCTACAACCTCTCTAGCATAAGTTGTCATCAGTGTTTTTGATCTTGGCCATTCTTACAGGTGTAAGATAGAATCTCAGAGTTGATTTGATTTGCATTTCTCTGATGACTAAGGATGTTGAACATTTTCTTAAGTGTCTTTCAGCCATTTTAGATTCCTCTGTTGAGAGTTCTCTGTTTAGATTTGTACTCCATTTTTTAAAATTGGATTATGTGATCTTTTGGTGTCCAATTTCTTGAGTTCTTTGAATATTTTGGAAGTCAGACCTCTGTCTGATGTGGGGTTACTGAAGATCTTTTCCCATTCTGTAGGCTGTCGTTTTGTCTTGTTGACCATGTCCTTTGCTTTACAGAAGCTTCTCAGTTTCAGGAGGTCCCATTTATTGTTTCTCTCAGTGTCTGTGTTGCTGAAGTCTGACCCCTTTGCATTCTGGACTTTTCTGTGCCTAGCTAACTTCAGGACCTTTGGGGAAGGGCTGCCCCACTGGCTTTTCTGCCGTTATGCATAGTTGGGTGTGTTTTTACTGTTCTTCTAGTTAGGTAGCTTTGAAACCATTCCATGGAAAGCACAGACTGGTGTCTAGTCTCACAGGCAGACAGGACTCATCCAGAAGACAGTGTGGCCACAGGGGTTTGTGCTCTTAGGGCATTTGCCTGTCTATCAGGCTGGCCTCAGTGGTATAGGAGGTCCTTCTGTTTATGTGTTGCTTTCACTGGGTAATGAATAAAGAAACTGCCTTTGCCTTTTGATAGGGCAGAACTTAGGTAGGTGGGGAAAACAGAACTGAATTCTGGGAGGAAGAAAGCAGAGTCAGGGAGAAGCCATGGACCCTCTGCCTAAGACAGACACCAGTTAGAATCTTTCTCAGTAAGCCACTGCCACATGGTGATATATAGATTAATAGAAATGGGTTAAATCAAGGTGTGAGAGTTAGCCAATAAGAGGCTAGAACTAATGGGCCAAGCAGTGATTTAATTAATACAATTTTTTGTGGTTATTTTGTGGCTAAGCTAGCCTGGTGGCCGAGAACAAGTGGGCCCCCTCCTTACATCTCAGGGTTCTCCCAGGTTCTGCAGGCCCAAGCAGAAGAACCTTTTGCTTTTTTCCCCTAGTACTTGGGTACAACTTGGGTATGTTATCTGACAGGCTTTTCAAAGTACGTCAGGAAGAAAGCAGATCCTGTTTTATTGACATTTAATCTTAATATTCCTGTAGATTTACTCAAAAAATTTCTTTTTGTTTGTTCTTTGATTTTTTTCGAGACAGGGTTTCTCTGTGGCTTTGAAACCTGTCCTGGAACTAGCTCTTGTAGACCAGGCTGGCCTTGAACTCAGAGATCCAACTGCCTCTGCCTCCCAAATGCTAGGATTAAAGGCGTGCGCCACCACCACCCTGGCTTCAAGGAACTTTTATTTTTAATGATATGAGTATGAACGGTACGCCAACTGGGCACCATTCTGAGCTTAACCAGGCTGGCCTCTGCTGTTGTTTGAAAGGTCATGGAGGCCGAGCAGACCAAGACAAGGAGTGAACTAGTACACAAGGAGACAGCAGCCAGGTACAATGCAGCCATGGGCCGTATGCGGCAGCTGGAGAAGAAACTCAAGCGGGCCATCAACAAATCCAAGTAAGTCTGGGCACATCCTTGCCTGGGTGGGAGCGGCTCTCTTCTGCAGCTGCTCCCCCTGTATGTACCATCACTGAGGGATTGCCTGGAGCTTGCTGCCTAGCGCCCTGTGCCCCTGTAGTCACATGTGACACCCCATAGTACTCCTGCTGCTGCCGCTGCCATGGGCAAGGATGCTGGCAGGAAACAGGACATGACACGGGAAAAGGAAATTCCAAAGCAAACCATTATTTGGCCTATAGATTATGCTTTCGGGAGCTTGGTTTGTATGCTTGGCTTTGTAGCTGATGGTGTGGACTGGACAGGCCCTGTCCCTCAGTTTACCTGTCAGCATCATGGGGGTGAGTTCTGCTCAGCATTCATGGTCTCTCTGGATCAATGAAGTAGCTGATGAAATGCTCCAAGCTGGGGTAGCAGTGGGTGCTTTCCCCAACCCTTCTCCGTGACACCTCCTACATGCTGACAAAGTAACAATCAGTGGGAAGCACAGCTGGGAAGACCGGGTCCCTTGCTTCATTCACTGGGCCTTTGAGAGAAAGAGCGAGCCAGAACTGGGACAGAGAACATGTGCTAAACTACTGGTTATCTGCTCGTCCTGAGACTGGACAGCTAGAAGCTTGACAGAGAACCGGGGTTTCAGGTAAGTAGGGGAAGGTGATATTAAAGGAAGAGGTGGAGCCTCCGTGTTCTGTACGCCCCATGTCTTCTCCTGGGCTTGCCTCTGCTTTCTGCCTGCTCCCTCCAACACACACATCCATGCATCAGAGAAAATGCTTTGTTTGCCACTGCACTTCCAGGGGACACAACTGGGAGAGGTGGTGGGGGACCCTGGAAAGCCCTTCCCTCCCCTATTGCAGAGGGGAAGCCTCCGTGCTTGCTTTGTCTGGTGTGAATATGTGGAGTTTCAAGTCCATGGTGCCTTCTATACACCCCTCTCACATTTGACCTGCTCACTCATGACTAACCTGTTAAGGAAATAAACTCTTCTGGTCACACTCTGCCAGCCTCTCCAGATGCTTCTGATGACTCCTGTCTGCTTGTGAGACTAAACATCAGTCTGTGCTCTCCATGGAATGGCTCCAGGGGCTCTAGTGCCTTCCCCTCCTGCTTTGATCACACCTGCTTCCCTTGTTCATCTTTGACAAGTTCACACACTTCCTTCACCTGGGAATCTCATACACCTACCACACTTTCTCTGCACCTTGACTGGGCTGATATCACCCCCCATTTAACCACTTATACCCACATTTCAGATTTTCCTTACACATCAACGGGGTCCTCCAATGTATCCTCATCAGCAATCACAGAGGCAGGACTTAGGAATTTGATGGACGAGAAATAGCTCAGACACCAGAGTTGCTATAAAGTGCCAGCTTTCTGTCTGACCCAGAGTCCAGGGGTCTTCTCTCTCTCCTTGCCTGTAACCTGGTTAGCTCACCAACACCTAGCCTTAATCACTGTACAAGAGGACCGATCTGAGGTTGAGGAAGTGGTGGTCCTGCTATACCCAGCTGACAGGGAGTGGTATTGCTTTCTTCTATAGTTGGTCGCAGCAGAGGAAGCGTTTTCAGCAGCCTGTTCCTCAGTCCCATCTTCTTTATTGGTCAGTAGCCCCAAGCAGTCTCCTAGGGTAAAAGGAACCAATCAGGATGCAAGGGTTCTAAAATTTCAAGATGGGAACGAAGAGGCCTTGGGTGAGCCAGGAGCTCTGCTGGTGTCTGTCGCTGCCATGGCCTGACTAGCTATAGCGGATTTATCTATAGTTGACCATAAGATCATATTCTTACCATTTCTTCCTGTCTTCTACAGGCCTTATTTTGAGCTCAAGGCAAAGTACTATGTGCAACTCGAGGTACGTGTAACCTTGGATTTGTCACTGTTCCCCCCCCCCCCTCAACTCTAGTGTGGTGCATGCCTTTGAATGACCCATGTGAGGGGAGGACAGGGAAACATGTTCCTCCACCTCAGTACTCAAGAGGTCTTGGGCATTGTGTGTCGTCTGGAGCTATTTGCCGCTCACTGCTCACTGAATGGTACTAACTTAATCGATCTTGGTGTGAGTGCCTAAGACAAGTGGTCCCGGAAACTTCTGTAGTAGAGTTCCCAGGCTCTCCATTTACTTCCAGAACCTTTGGGGATTGGGTCAGCAGTCTACACTGGAAGTGGCTCTACAGGTGATTTCAAATATGGGGCCAAGAACTTGTCTGTGACCAAGTGTTCTGTTCCTTCCCTGAGGGCTACATTCCATTAACAGCCGTTTCTGAATATTTCGTGTCACATGGACTGGTGTTGAGATGATAGTCATAATAAAAGTAACTGGATCCTCCTTAGGTCATGTCTTGGGTGTTCTAGAAAGTTCTGTTGTAGTCATCTGTAGCCCCTCTCTTAGTGGGGACATACAGAGCCACTTGGCTTACCAGGTCCTCCATCTTCCCAATCAGCAACTGAAGAAGACAGTGGATGACCTTCAGGCCAAGCTGGCCCTGGCAAAAGGCGAGTATAAGGCAGCCCTGAAGAGCCTGGAGAGAATCTCAGATGAGATCCACGAGCGCCGGCGTTCCAATGCCATGGGGCCTCGGGGCTGTGGCGTGGGGGCTGAGGGCAGCAGCATATCAGTGGAGAAGCTGTCTGGGAGCAGACCTGAGCCTGATGCCATCTCTGGTGAGTCTGGCCAGCTGGGACCACACAGCATATGTAATCTGCTTTCAGGGCCATCTTGTCCCACAGGCCCCGTCTTTTGCCCATCACTAAAGAATTGGAGAGTTGGGCAGCCCTGCAGGATATCTGGTAATTTCTCATGATTTGTGGGACACTGTTTGTCAGATTGCTACTGAATGTTAGCATTCCATGATCAAGTAGGTTTGGGAAATGTTCCAGCTCTATCCTTACCCTTCTCAGAGAGTCTAAGTTCACTTTAGAACGTTCAAGACTTTAAGACGTTCTGAGGGAAGATTAAAAGGGACTTGGGACCCAGATCTGATTCAGACCCCACTCTACCACGGCATGGAGTGGGCTAGCTGGGGTCTTGGTATGTTAGCTGCTTCAGCTGTGTGAAGGGGATAGAGTGTTTTCTCTGCTGGGTAGACTGGTCAGGAGGGTTGTGAGAAGTGACACCTAGCAGCTCTCCCTGGGGTCTGAGCACATGGGTCTCTTCTGTCCAAGGATATCCTGTGCAGATAGAATAGAGGACTGACCTAGTTTCTGTTAATCAAGAAAGCTACCCTGTGACAGTGAACACTTTGTAAGCTTCACTTCTCCTGTGGAATAATCCATTGTGGCTCTTAGGCTCCTTCCTCAGCAATTCTTTCTTTTCCTTATTAGTATTATTTTTAAAAATAATTTGTGTATGAGTTTTTCCTACATGTACCTACGTATACCACATTCATGCTTGGAATTACAGTTGTGAGCTCCCATGTGGGTGCTGGAAATCAAGCCTGGGTCCTCTGGAAAAGCAGCAGGTGCTCTTAACCACTGACCCCTCTCTAATCTCATCCTCAGTAATTCTTGAAGGCCATCAACGAAGGCTGAATCGCCAGGTTGAAGGGAAATGAAACTATAATGTAATCAATAGCATTTGAGCAGTCAGGTAGCTTGACAAGGCCACACAGTCAACAGTGGGGTCCGGATCTGAATTCAGTCTGTCTCAAGCAGTATAGTACTTACAGCAACCCTCTCTGGAATGCTAGAAGATCATTTTTAAAGACGCTATAGGCGAGAACTAGGAAGGATCTTAAAGTGAGAATGCGGGCTGAGAGGCTCTGAAAACAAGAATGGTGTGTCTCTGAGCCTTGGTTATTCTGGTTCACAAACAGGCACATCCAGAACACTGTAAATGAGTTGTTCTTTGTTGCAAACAGTGGTCTAGTATGAGATCAAAAGTTACTACAGACATACATTCCATGCAGAATTGCCCTTTCCAGCAGCAACTGCTGCTTATGCTGGAAGGAAAACCTTCAGTCTTCATTTGTAAGATTGCCTCCGTAGGACACATCACAAAGGGCTAGTGTCTAAATTTATCTTCCCTTTTCTTCAGTGCTGGGAAGTGAAATCATGCCTTTGTGTATGCTAGACATGTGCTTCACCCTAGCTATCCTTTCTCTAGGTAGCACCTGCTGGCATAAAATTATAGAGCAGGAGTTAATTTTATTTCTAGAACACTGACTTTCTATGGGACCTAGCAGGAGGCGAGTCAGAAGGCTCAGGACAGTTGCAGAACCTGCACTCCATGCTGTGGGACTGCCTGCCTGCCTGCCAGCAGAGAGCTTGTCTGCAAGCCTTTAGGGACCTGGGCTACTTGCTAGCAGGCTCTGTGTAACAGATGTTCTCACCCCACAGTGGCTTCCGAAGCCTTTGAAGATGACAACTGCAGCAACTTAGTGTCTGAAGACGACTCCGAAACTCAGTCTGTGTCCAGCTTTAGTTCAGGACCAACAAGTCCATCTGATATGCCTGACCAGTTCCCTGCAGTGGCAAGGCCTGGCAGCTTGGATCTGCCCAGTCCCGTTTCCCTGTCTGAATTTGGAATGATGTTTCCAATACTGGGCCCTCGAAGCGAATGCAGTGGGGCCTCCTCCCCTGAGTGTGAGGTGGAACGAGGTAAGTTCGACCCCTGGCACTCTGCCTGGCCAGCTTCAATCGTTACAGAATTTACGCCCCGAGTCTCTCCTTAGAACAAACCCCTAGGTTCCTGCTAGAGAGGTTTGCTTCCTAACTCCAAAGTAAGGAGAGTAAATCTCATCTTAGGATACACACTAAGGGATAAATACAGTGTGTTATCCAATGTTGGAGAGTCCCTGAGATGCATGGTGGGTGGCAGTGGGAATCGTAGAGGGCTTAGGGGGCTGGAACTATCAGCTCCCACTCGGCAACCTTTGTATCTCTACAGGAGACAGAGCAGAAGGGGCTGAGAATAAAACGAGTGACAGAGCCAACAACAACCGTGTTCACAGCAACAGCGGTGGTGGCAAGGGCAGGAGCCAAAGCAGCACATCCCCTGAAGGCCAGGCCTTGGAAACCCGTATGAAGCACCTCTCCCTACAGTGCTCAAAAGGAAGAGATGGGATTATCGCTGACATAAAAATGGTGCAGATTGGCTGACTCACCCAGGGCTACGGCCCATGTGCAAATCACATTTATACGTGAAACTTGAGGAACATCGTGCCAATACTCATTTAACATAAGCCAGATAGTATGCATTTACTCTAAACTGCACTAACCAAGTTTCAATGACCTTGAGGGCTGAAGCATTTCCCTCTGGTAAGAGCTCTTGGGCTGGTGTTTTTCAGAGCAGAGCCATCACAGGTAAAATGTGACCAGGGTCACAGCCTTTGCGGAACGTTCCCTTGTAGCGGCAGTGTAGAAGCAATAACTAGTTTCTGTGAAAGAAGCCAAGCCAGGAGGGGAACTGGACACTTAACCAGACTGGGGTCACCAGCCTACATCTCTATCCCTCTATTTGGGGAAACTGAGATGTTCTCTCCATTATATCACAGGGCACCAAAATAATTTTAAAACTCACACAAACAGAAACTCAAGTGTTCAGAACACATTGTTTTGACCCAGTGAAATCTCAAAAACAATGCCAAGAACACAATTTCATTTTCATCACCTCTGGTGCACAGAGAGGGATTTTTTTTTTTTTTTTAAAGCATGTCTTCTGGGACACCCATTATAACCATTTCCTAGGAAAGGTACCATGAACTGCACTTTTTGGGGGTGGGAAAGGTGACTGAATGCCAATATGGGGATGGGGAATGAGGGAACAGAGACATAGCATATGGGGTTTGTGGTTGCAGGAGGTTTACAGCCTAACTTAGCCTGCCAGCCGAGGGGGTTTATTCTAGAAGTGCATGCCATTGTTCTATCTACTGAGACTATTTAAAGAATACTAGGTGCAGCATAAACCTTAGAGGGAGTAGGCATGTGCTGGCAGGGGCTGGGAAATAGAAGCAGTGGATGTTGTGCCAATAGTAGTATGTTTAGACTCTTAGTGTTTATACTTATGCATATTTAGGGCACTGTATTTTATTTGTCCTGTTTTATCTGTTTGGCTTTTCTGAAGAAAGCAACCCCATTTCAAATTGTCTTTTAATTATGTCACAGCTTGTATATTTTAGCCATGTGTATAGCTTCATACAATAGTGATTTCTTTTTTATTGATGGATACAGTATCCTAATTACAAGGTTATTTTGTACTTGTTTTAATACCTTGAGGGTAATAAAAACTAAGAAAACTTTGTGACTTCTGCTGAGAAAGCCACTGTTGTGTGTTGTGTGTCTTCCACTCTGGGATGTCCCTTGCTTTGTTAAGAAGGACCATGGGATGCTGTGGCCCTCTGCTCTCATCCTGGTAGTCACAAGCCCAAGAAAAGAGGGTCTCTGCTTCACTGGTCAGTGTAGTCTCCTGGGGATGGCTGGGGTGGGGAGCTACAATCCTGCAGTACGGGTTCACCTGACTCAGCCTGGCTCTACTAGGAAGCTGAAGAGTACTGGATCTTAATGTATATGCTACACTGAAATGTGTTGTGGGAGGACATCCTAGTTAGCTTTGCCCTTTACTGTTAGTCCTTCTCACATTACCTCAGGGATGTTTACAGCTGTGTACTCTAATGTTCAGGATCCACCACAGGATCAAGTACCTGTCACCCTGAATGTTGGTCCTGACATCTGCCTTCTAAGTTGGAGTCACATGGTAAAATCTTGTATTTATGGCAGATGGATTTTGTGTTGGGAAGCATAGCACTATATCCCTTACTTGAGCACTGGGGCTTCTCCCCACTCCATCAGCCTGCCACCTGCTTGTCTCCTACCTCAGGAAGGGAATGCATGAATGACCTCTGACCCTGGCTCCTGTCTCATCACTTCCCCTCACGTGTCCCACTACAACAGTGTGCCTTCACTGCTATTTTGACTTTTTTACTCTTCTTGTTCGTCTTTATGGTCACCATGTCTGAAATGCAGCTACTAACCAATTTCAGTTTTTTGGCCCTCTTTGGCTTTTTTCCCCCTAAGGTGACCACGAACCATATGCTACTAATTTTAAGATGTCACCTTTTCTGGATAATTTTCTTTTCTGTGTCAAGGGGGAGTTTTTTGAAGCTCAACATCTATGCATGTACTGAAATGAGAACCTGAGCCATCCCCTCCTCTTACTAGCAATTTCTAATTTTTCCATTTTTAAAAAATCTGTTCCACTATTGTGTCACCTTCCTACAACACAGATCCAACTGTCAATTCCAGCCTGCTGTCCCCACATAGAAAGCAGCTGGGCTGCAGGATTGTAGGAATAGTGCCTACACTTGATTTCTCCATGGAGCTTGCTTACAGGAGTCAATACTGTTTACATATAGGTTTTCTCCACTGGGTTTTTGTTTTTGTGCTGTTGGGGACTGAACCCAGGACCTTGGGCATGCTAAGTGCTGTGCCAATGAGCTTCTAGTAGGTTTCTTAATGCAAAAATTAACTCTTATCCTCACATTTTAGTTAAGTAAAATTTCATTGATAAATACCTTCCAACTACTGAATTAAGATATCCTTGAAGCACAGGCCTTTAATCCCAGCACTCAGAGATCCAGAGATCCACCTGCCTCTGCCTTCTGAGTTGGAGGCCAATCTGGCTTAGAGAGTTCCAGGACAGGCTCCAAAGCAACACAGAAACCCTGTCTCAAAACTTAAAAAAAAAAAAAAAAATCGTTGAAGCATGTATTTTCAATATACATCTGTCTTTTACAAAAAGCAAAGTAGATTAACTCAAATCAAGTTCTGGAGGTTAAACTATATAATTTCCATAAGTATAAATATTTTATTTCAATTAAAGGCAGTAGAAATAGTTTTGATAATTATAAAGTAGAGACAATAACAGATCCCATCCTATTTTTCAGAATTTTAAAATCTTGAGCATCATTCTGCATTGTTATGTAAACAAATGGGAATTTACACAACACTAATTCCTGGTAACTCACTTTTTATGAATGCTGTATAACTCAATCACCACATACTAAAGTCTCAAGGACTCTCCAAATTCCTGTTATGAAAGCACAAACTACGGAGCAGTTTAAAACTCTATACACTAAACTTTAACATTTCCAGTCTCAGATTACTACATTTCACCAACCTGCTAAGAATTAAAAAATGGCAAAAATAAATATACCTCAGTTCTCTCTCTACAATGAATGATGTATCTAACACTGAGAACCTTCATTCTAAAATAGCCTGCTCTTGCATTCAGTAGATCTGTGGCCCTGGTCCTCATCTTGTTTCAGTTCCTTTGTCCTGTTAGCAAAAGCATCTCACAGTGATAGCTGAATCTAATCTGTAATCATATATAATTTGTATACAAAGTTAGCCCCTAAATACATGCCAGCTCTGTATGCACAAAACCATGTAAACAGTACCTGTAAGATTAAGGTAATTCTATGTACAGTTCCTAGCAAACAGCATGACAAGTACCAGATTTCACTGTAGCATGTCTTTGAATTCCATTCTAATGGTTTACCATCATAATTTGTCTCTGTCTTAAGAGCCGATGACTGCAAAATATAGAATCCAGTAATAGCTGAGATTTCTCTATCACTGGAGTTGTGTTGTCTTGATGGGGACAGTACTATTAAAGTCCAAGAAAAAAGGTCCTTCTTGTTTAGGCAAAAAAGTACTTGGGATGATATTAAAGATTCCAGCAGGTATATTTTCCAATTCTAAGTAGCAAAATCCACACCTATATCGAAGGAAAATGAGAATAAGGTTATTATGTGACCATAATGTCACATAAAGTGTACACTGAACACAAAATGCCACTGTTACCTATAGTCACCACTAGATTTCCTCTGAAAGCCATGAGGACCAGGATCTCCCGTTATGGAAACTGCTACCACCTCAAATCCAACACTGTATTGCCTGGTATTAGAAATCAAACAGCATTGCTATGTTAGTAAACAGTTTAAAAGACACTGCAAGGTGCAGGTGAGCTATTAAAGTATGTATGTGTGTGTGCTCCACTCTTTACCAACAAGAAAGCACCCCAAAACCCTGCATACTGTTTTTACTCACAATTTCTATCTAGTTTTATAATGGAATCCATAAAGACTAATAACGCATCAAGCTTACCTTAACACAGACTTTTGCTTTTTGTGACAAGGTCTCAGAAAGTAACCCTGACTGTCCCAGAATTCACTATGTAGACCAAGCTGGCCTCGAACTCAGATCTCTCTGCCTCTGCCACCTGAGTGCTGAATTAAAGGCATTGTGCCATCACTCCCAGCTAGGTTTTTTTTAAACCACAGGCTCCCCAGGGAATATAAAAGATAAACATCATTTAACATAAATTTCTAGATGAAAGACTGTCATTGTAACTGACAGAAAACCCTACAGAACAGAAGAAAGCCCTCAAAATCTAAATTCACAGAATAGTTAGTATGTGACTCATATGGCATTCCAAGACACTCATTCACAGAGAAAAAAAATGCTGAACTGCATTTCATACCAGATATTATTTGTATTATATTCTAGAAGTTACTGTTTACTTTTAACATCTAGTCTGTAACCTAGAACTGACTTTTAGGCCTGGTGTGAGCTAGGTGAAGTTACTGTCATACATGGACACTTACTCAGGGCTGACCTCCCCTTTATAATGCCGTAATTATCAAAAATACTTTGCCTATGTTTGCATGGATTTGTTTACAAACATTGTTTCCAAACTGATTAAGATCAGTTTTAATATATCCTCATTAATTTAAAACTAAGGATTCTAAGTTAGTAAAAACATAGCTCAGTGCTTGCTGACAAACACAAAGCCCTAGCTAGGGTCACCTGCAGCACGAAAAGAAAAAAAAAGGCAGCTACGAATCACAAACCTTGGTCCTCTCAGTTCAATCAGTAACGGTCCAGTTTTATCTATATGGAACTGGTAGATGGGGTTATTTTTGTGAGTCTCCTGAAAATTTCCACATCCTCCAGCACTCTGACCACTCCACTTTCCATTAATCTATAAAATAAAGTTTGTTATAACAAAATTTCACATTCTGATTCCACCATAGTTTTAGTATGTTTCTCCAATCTTTGTCACTGACAGCCTGTCCTCCTTCAGCCGTTGCTTTACTATAC